GGTTAGCCATCGTGTAAATGGAATATGGATTTTAGATATAAATGATGATCTTGTAAGCGAGATTTTAATTGGAGATCGTATAAATTCATTTAATGGATTGTCAGATGTGAATTTGAATAAGTTTCGAGCGTTGTGCATTTGTGGGACCCGTCTCACGAGTGCACGGCGTCTGTCGCGTCTCGGATTTGGGTTCTGGGGTGTGACATAAATAATATAATTATAATTTATTAATTAATCAATTAATCACCATAATAATAATTTTATAATCAATTAATTTATTTAATTAATTATAATTTACTTATCAATTAAAGAATATAATTATAATTTACTAATCAATCAATTAATCAATATAATCATAATTATTTATCAATCAATTAAAGAATATAATCATAATTTACTAATCAATTAATTAATCATCATAATCATAATTATTTATCAATCAATTAAAGAATATAATCACAATTTACTAATCAATTAATTAATCACTATAATCATAATTTATCAATCATCAATTAAAAATATAATCATAATTGACTAATCAATAAATTAATCACTATAATTATAATTTATCAATTAATTATGTACTATAACCATTATTCCCAAAATGGTCAACTAATCAATTAATCACAATTTACCAATTAATAACTAAAATTCTTAATTCTTTCTAAACTAAATTTTAAAAAGAAATAAAGGAAAAAAAATTACACAACATACTTGTAATGTGGAGACTTGTGATTAAGAGAAATCAACGAAAAATTAATGATTAGAAAGTGATGGATAAATAACAACTAAATCAGTTAATAAATTAAGAAAGGTAAAAGTTAAACTAATGAAAATGAAAATTATAACATAAGAAAATATTCATTTATGCACATTAAAATTTTTATATTAAATATAAATTATATCATAAAAATTCAAAAAAATAAAATTTAACTAACCTCTCCACACAAATTAAACAAGTAGAAAACAAATTCGGACACAGAGAGGTTGAAGACAATTATGGTAGCAATTGAGTGTATTTGAGAGAGAATTACTGCCCTTTTTTTTTTTTTTTAAGGATGAGGAAAAGGAAACAAAAAAAAAAATTTTAAAAAAAGATCCAATCAAATTATACCTTTCTCAACTCAAAAGCCTAAAAAAAAAGGATAATGATGTGTGCTCACTCGGATCCAACACCCGGGTGTGCACACACCATATAAAAAAAAAAAAAAAACCATCACCCGGTCCAACTTTTTTTTTTATGTGGGGGGTGCACACTCGGGTGTGAGATCCGCGTGTGCACCAATCAGTGTCCAAAAAAAAAAACACTCAATATTGGCCAGATCAAGCAATACTAGTTTTTGGTGTTCGATTGCAGGCAAAAGAAAGGAGAAACTAAGAGGAGATAGTTTGAGGAGGAAGGAGAAGAGGTTATGGGAGAAATGCAATATCTTCACACATTTTGGTTAGTATTTATGATTGAATTGCAATGGGAAAATGTCGGACCCACATGATATTCCATCAAATTAGATTCCCTACATTTTTTTGGTCAAGCACACTAACCGAAAATTATTGGAAAAGCTGACCTGCAAAAAATAGAAATTTTTAGTCCATTATTTAGATCATTTTTCCTGATTGAAATATAGCCATATCTCTGAATTAGCATCAACTCTGGTCAAATTAGTTACTCCATCATATTTGAATCAAACTTCTTATCCCTGAATTAGCATCAACTCTGGTCAAATTAGTCACTCCATCATATTTTAGTCAAACTTCTTGACTGAAATGGTGATGAAAAGCTTACCAACAATTGAAGAACACTGTGCACTACCCTATTTTGGTCAAATTGAAAGACCGAAATAGAATGAAGAACAAAATCGTGACTTGCCTCATGTTATATTGGCTCAATTGTTTAGTTCAGACATAAAATTGACCGAATTGTAAATATTTTATGTTTTTCATTAATATTTAATATTAAATATACTACAGATTTTTTTAAGGATTTTATTATAAGCCTTGCCTCTGCACTCGGTCAAACTCCCTAACCGAGTTAGTTTTGGTGCCATTTTGCACGCAATTAATTCAAGGTTAAACCCCTATTTGGGTCCTTGAACTATTGTACGGACCCCCGATTTGGTTCTTGAACTAAAGAAATCCCTAATTTGGTCCTTGAACTATTGTACGGACCCCTGAGTTGGTCCCTAAACTATTGTACGGACTCCCAAGTTAGTCCCTAAACTATTATACGGATGCCCAATTTGGTCCTTATTGTTTACCAATTTAACCCCAACTTGGTCCTTCTGTTAAATAATAGCTCAAGGACTAAATTGGGGTAAAATTGTAAACAGTAAGGACCAAATTGGGGGTCCATACAATAGTTTAAGGACCAACTTAGGCCAAATTATAAACAATGGGGACCAAATCGAGGGTCCGTACAATAGTTTAAGGACTAAATCAGGGATTTCTTTAGTTCAGGGACCAAATCGGGGGTTCGTACAATAGTTCAGGGACCAAAATGGGGATTTAACCTTAATTCAATCAAATTGCTTGACCGAACTAAAATTTAACCAAATTATGTTGTTTTTTTGTTTTTTTTTTTTAATTGTCAAACCCTAAATTCAATAAATTTTAGTGGTTGAAATACCTGTTTTTTCAGTTAAGAAAATTGCTTGACCAAAATGGTCAGTATTCTAATAGTGAGAGAATAATATAGGTAACCATATGCATTAACCTAAGTTTTTATTTAAAAAGAAGTTAAAATAAAAGAGTTATTTTGAATCAGAAGGAGTAATTGATAACTATTAATTGATATACATTCCTAACATTAATTCAAACATCCTTATCAATTCGACTAATATAGGAAATAACTATTTATTTTTTCATAAGAGCGAAGCTAAATAGATAATATGAATAATTTAGTTTGTGGATGTGTTTGACTTTCCTCATTTTTTACCTCTTTAAATTTTTATGCATTTACATACTCAAATGATGGTGATTTTTTTTTTGATCGAAAAAAGAGAAATATATTAAGTAATAAGAAATAATTTCCATCTCATGGCATTATAGCTAACAGCAAAATAGTCTAAAGACAAAATTAGAAGCATGACCTATAGTACTAGTAACAAATTTAAACTATGCCCATAACGGATGTAAACAATAAAGCAAAAAGAGCCATATGCAACTAGAGATTGAAATTATAATCGTTGTATAGGCTAAATAAGGCTACTAATATAGAAAGGGGAGTCATTATGAGCATTAAGAACTACTGGACATCCTCATTTATTTAACCAGCTTCTTGGGGAGAGCAAGGGATTTCGGCAACAAACAGTCCCCAACTCGCAAGTTGCCGCCTTACTTGCTCTTAAAGAAGAACATACAAGAGAGGTATGGGCCTTCTCTAGACAAGTACAAGGCCCCTCAATCGCCTCCATATACTCACAATTAGGTTCCCATCTTTGCCAATCCCTTTCAAACCCATGTTGTCGAAACCCATTAAGGGAACTAGAGCCTCTTTACCAACTTGAATATTAAGCTTCCCACACAAACCATAGCCAGCCTTACCAACAACATCCTTTTCCTTTTGCAATCAATAGCTAATTGGGAACTAGTGTGAACTAGTTTCACCAAATTTGACCCCTGCCAAGATCCCATCCGAGGAGATGCACCAAAAAGAGGTTCTTGCTCGTTAAATAGGAGAAACCCACTTCATCGGCAAGATCAATTCCAATTGTAGCCTTTGAAAATCAACCGATATAAACTCTAGAAAACCCAAATATGCCACTGCCTTGTGGTTCCTTGGGTTGGAGTTTCCAAAGCAAGACATTGACAAGATGAAGAAGGAGATCAAGAGGAGGAAGAGAGGAGTAAGAAGAAAGGAGAAGTGAAGGAACTCCCTTGCTGAAGAGAAACCGTAGGGAGGAAAATCTATTGCCACTGCTCTCAACCCAAGGAGCAGTGCACGGAAGAGCACAGAATTCAAATGATGGTGATTTTAACTCTATATTCTCATGCATGTAATGGTGATTAACACCTTATATAATTTCACGCATTTCATATTGCGGTAACACTCTTTTTTTTCTAGCATTTATATAATATTTTATTCATATTTAGTATAATAATTAAATCTTGTATCGTAACTCTCTTATATTTCTTGTAAGTCTCCTACCACTCTACTCCCTATTTATATAGGGTTTCTTAGTATTTGGAGGGAATAGGGGAAGAAATGAGAAGAATAAAAAATCTTTAATAGTCCGTTTGTCTGATTTTCTCTCTAATATTCCTTCTTCCTTTCTAATTGTTTATTTCTTTATTTCCAACAACTGCGCACCATTGTTGTATTAATAATTATAATATTTAAACCATTTTAATATAAAATTATTTCTTTAGCTCATCAATGAGGTGGCAGTAGGCCACTTGAACACTGTCGCTCCCTCAGCTAGCAGATAATGATAAAATTTTGAAAATTTGATAAACATAAAATTAAAGTCGCCACGTTCAGTTCTTTTCATTTTCTTTTCTTTTCCTTTTTTTTTCAAAACATTAACTTTAATTAAAATTTTAAGAAAGTATAAAAAATAATTGACAATTTGTCTTTTTAGATATTTTTATTTTAAAATAATTGTTATTTTTCAATTTTTAACTTAAAAATTTAGAAATATTTTATATTTCTTTTTTAAAAAACAAAGATATAAACAAATTTTTTTATAATAAGATGATTAATTTAAATAAATAAGGATAAAGTCAAATTAGAAAAAAAATATTTTATTTATCTTAAAAAATAAAAATAACAACTATTTTGAAAATAACTTGAAGTATAGAAACAACAGTGATTTTATAACAAGTGAAGTAATCTTTACATACTTTTTTGATTTTATTTTTAAATTAAGAATTTATGGACATATTTTAGTTTTACTTATTTTATTTTTCAAAAATAAATAAAAATAAAAATTATTTTAATCAAAAAGTGAATAATTAAAGTTAAGAGATAATTATAAAGTTAACATAAAAAACTACTTAATACCCTTAATATAAGAAAAAATAAACTATTTATTTTTTGATAAATTTTAAATAAAAAACATTTATTATTCTAAGATGGGAGAGTAATTCTTAATTACTTTTTTTTATCAACAAGGCAAATTGTAAGGGTAGAAAACTTCCTTTGGCACATACAATACGCCCCGTTGCTTCTCGTGGATTTTCATAACCTTGTTGCGCAAAAATGGGATATGCGTTTGAAATAGATGTCCCTGTTATTATATATATCACGAGCGATACGGAAATGGATCGAGTAATCTCTTGCTTTATCCAGGAAAAGGTATTTTTAGTTTGCATGGTCCAATCATTGATCCCGAAGGTTTCTACAATAAAATTAGGCGGGTCGCTAGTCCCTATCCATTTTTTTGTTTTTTGTTTTTCTTTGCTTATACACAAAGCAAGAAACATTCTAATTTGATCAGTGACTCTCTTTCATTGAACAATAAATAATTACAAGGGATGGAGATACACGATTTAAATACTGAAAGGTCCAATATTTAAAAAATGTATCTATAAGGACCGGAAGGGTGGAAACAAGAACAGATATAATCTAATCATTATGAGAAAATCCAAAATCTTTGTAGATATAGCCAATCATTAGTTCCCAACCATATTTTTTTTTAAAAAAAAAAACCTTTGTAATTTTCAATTATAACAGCAATTAGGAGGATGTGTAAACCCCAGTGCATAAGTTGTTATACAACTGTGGTTATCTGTTATACAACTATGGTTATCGAATGGAGCATTTTTTCTATATATGATGTTCGTAGAGAATTAGCAAAAAATTATCGTGTTTCAATTTTTCAATTGAAGAAAACTAGAATTTTGGATGGAGTAGAACATGTGTTGTCTCCAATAAAGCTATAATGCAATAAAAGTCAAGGAAAAAAGCATAGATAGCTATATCCGCATATGTTTAATAAATACACAAGCTTTTCTTATGCTTTCTTATGCCACCACTTCAATCATATTCTATTAAAAACTACATAGGACTACATAGGTAAAAATCTCTATTTTTTTTGAACAGTGGAATCTTCGAAAAATTTCAGTAAAATGCAAATTTCAGTTCTAAAAAAATCAACTCTATCCATCTTTCTGATTATTATGTCTTGATCTAGAAATGATACAAAAAAGGATATCTTTTTTCACGACAGACAATTTTGCTTATGATGAATTAGAAAATCGTTGGAGTTCTACCAATGAACTAAAAGCAAGAAATCTAAGTAAGGAATTTCTAAATCGAGTCGAAACTTTAGAGAAAAAATCTTTTGATCTGGATATACTCCAAAAAAAATCTCGATTGTGTAAAAATGAAACTAAAGAGGAATACTATCCTCAAAAATATGACTCGTTCCTTTATGGATTTGATCGTGGCATAATACAAAAATTATTTTCCCCAAAGGAAAGTTATATAAAAAGATACATGAATACACCTTGGATAAATAAGATTCATGCTATACTTATTAGTACTGATTATCATGAATTTAAACAGAGAATAGATATTCTCAATAGAGAAAGATTGTTGATTGAGGAAGACCACCCTTTTAATAATCAAGAAATGACAATAACAGCGGATGAGCAGGATTCAAATCCCATCGATCAAATAATTAGAAAAAACCTGCTAGTGGAGGTAGACCTCCTAGAGATAAGAGACATAGAGCTAAGGAAAGAGCCAAAAAAGGACCTTTTGTGTATAATCTTGCATAATCTCGAATGTTATTAGTTCCTGTACGTAGACCAAATAATACAATGCAAGCAAAAGTTCCTAGATTCATGGAGATATAAAGCAGCATATAAGTTATGATGCTCACATATCCACCATTTGAGTCTCCAACAATTATTCCAATAATTACATATCTGATTTGACTTATGGACGAATATGCAAGCATACGTTTCATGCTTGTTTGAGTAATAGCAATGAGATTTCCCAATATCATGCTAAGAATAGCTAGGATTTCCAAAAGAAGATGCCATTCGTTTAATGAGAAATAAAAAGGAATATCGAAAATTCGAGTGGCTGAAGCCGAAGCAGCTACTTTCAAAGTAACAAAAGGAAAAGCAACTAGAAGAGATGGTACTAAGAGAGGGAGACCCTTCTCGTAGCGAAATAATAAGAGATGAGCTGGAAGAACTAGACGATCAAGAATATTTTGACGAGCTTGGATATGTCGAGAAATAAGAGGTGCGATGCTACTAATCCAATCGATTCTTAGAAAATATATTATATTACCCTCACTGATAATAGCTAAAAATATCGCACGTATCTTATTATTTCAAAACTTGAGTGGTCTGAGGATTTTAAAGATCGAAAACGAGAAAGGCATATTAGATGTACTTATATTGGTATTCCAATATTCGAAAATGAATTTCCACCAGAATGGTTAAAAAAGGGTATTCGGATAACGATTCTATATCCTTTCTGCCTACAATGCTCAATATCATTTGATTGAATAGTTGACCCAGCTCCTTGTTGTTTGAAGAAACCCTCCACTTCAATTGGTATTTTTTCACGAAAAGCAAACATGAGATAACAAATCCAGTCTTTCACTAAGATTTCGAATAGCTGTCCCGAATTCAAGTTGATTTTGTTTCGCCTCCTACTCGAAGAAAGACGATCAAACAATTCTCAATCACGATCCTTTGCGGAACGGATCATCCATATAATATACAAAAGGAAACTCCAGATATTTGATATCTTTCTCTTTGAATGAGATCTCAATTTCAGCGATGGTTTCATTAGATATCTTTCAACTAGAATCCCTATTTTTTTCAATCCAGTTCCTCCACCTCTGCGACCCCTAGTTAGATTCAGGCATGATACACTTTTTAGTTATTGGGAGAACCCAAGTACTCTCTTCCGAATCCAAGTAACGCTGGTATAGTAGTAGGTAAACTTGAAGGCGAAAGAGAGATAACTTTAGGCTTTGTTAATTTACTACGTGATGATTTTATTGAAAAAGATTGAAGCCGTGGTATTTATTGCACTCAAGATTGGGTTTCTCTCCCAGGTGTTCTGCTTGTAGCTTTGGGTGGTATTCACGTTTGGCATATGCCTACTTTGATCGAGATCTTTGGAGATGATTCTGTACTACAATTCGGTGGAGGAACCTTAGGACACCCTTGGGGAAATGCACCGGGTGCTGTAACGAATCGAGTAGCTCTAGAAGCATGTGTACAAGCTCGTAAATCAAAGTGTTTATAGTATGGAATGAGTCAATCATCCCCTTTGGTCTCTTATTGAACAATAATGGTGATTTTGGTCCTCCATCAAGCAATAATTTCTTTTGAGAAGTATTATGATCATCCAATAAGCAAGGTTTCAATTTTTTCAAATGAACGATTTGAAGACCTATTGATTCTAACAACTGATTGTAGGATTGATCATTCAGACCTTTCAATTCATAGATGTGGATCTCAGACCTATGAATGGGGATATTCTCGAAACTCACAAAGAAAAAAGGAAGTGAGTTAGACAAAAAGAGAAGTAACTTGGACAGAAGTGACTTAGATAAGTCTTTTTTGTCAATAACCTCAAACCAATCAATCGAATACTAATAAATACGTAATCGATTGAACACTACTTGAAAATAGCTTTTCTGCTCAAAAACAAAATGTTCAAAATGCTCTTGGAAATTCTTACTCTCATTGGACCATTTGTATCTATATGCATTAGGATCCTGATTCATGGATCTCTCGGTTCTAGAGATAAAAATAAGAGGATTGAACCATTTCTTCTGACTCTTTTTCAAATTCGATAAATGTTGGTTGATCGTATATTTCATTATAGTTCTATGGTTCAGAGTCTCATTTCCTATTTGATCCCTTTGAATTCCATTCTTGAAATTGCGATTGGATCTATTCAAGAATCGATTCAATACATTTCTTATGTACCCATAATAGGTATCTCAGACCTATGAGTGGGGATATTCCCGCAACTCACAAAGAAAAAAGGAAGCGAGTTAGACAAAAAGAGAAGTAACTTGGACAGAAGTGAATTAGACAAGTCTTTTTTGTCGATAACTTCAGACCAATCAATCAAATATTGATTAATACGTAATCGATCGAACACTACTTGAAAATGGCTATTCCGCTTAGAAACAAAATGTTCAAAATGCTCCTGGAAATTCTTGCTCCTGTTGGACCAATTGTATCTATATGCATTAGGATCCCGATTCATGGATCTCTCGGTTCAAGAGATAAAAATAAGAGGATCGAACCATTTCTTCTGACTCTTTGTCGAATTCAATAAATGTTGGTCGATCCAAATGATCACCAACATACTCCTACCCTCAGTGAGTCTCAAAACCAATCTCATGTGGCCCCAACTCCACAACCCTTAACTGATGAGGTCACACGACGTTTGGATAGTTTAGAGAAAATGGTAATTGAGCAACAAGGTGCTCCACCTTTTCAGAATATCACAACCTTTGTACTCCATCCTTTGAATATCAACATAACCTCAAAACCTTATCTTACTGGCTTCAAGATACCTCAACTTGAAACATACGATGAAACCAAGGACCTAGATGATCACCTCCATGCTTTCTACTCTTGTATGCAGGCTCAAAATGCTTTTAATGCATTGATGTGAAAATATTTCCCTCAACTCTCCGAGGCAATGCTCGAGCTTAGTATTACAGTCTACCCCCGAGGTCTATCAGCTCTTATATAGAGATGGCATCTGTCTTTGCTACTAATTTCTCCAGCAAGAGATTAATTAAGAAAACTACACCTGAACTTATGCGAATTGCGTAGAGGGAAGGAGAATCCCTAAAAAATTACATGAGAAAGTTCAATGATGAAGTTTTGGAGGTTAGCTCATTTAATCAGGCTATAGAAATTGCAGCTATAATTCAGGCCTCAAACATGAAAGATTTAGGGACAGTCTAATTAAACACCCTCCTACTACTTTCAATGAAGTTAACGATAGATCTTTGAGATTTATAACTACTGAGGAATATGCTTTGTCACAAAAACCAGCTCCTATTAAGAATCAAAACCTGATTTGGAGAAAAAAGGGTCAAAGCAAGAAACGGATGAAGACAATACAGAACCGAGGTCCAATGTCGACCTCAATGCCGAGTCTCAGAAGACCGACTTCGGTACCTCTTCAACAAACTCTTAGCAAAGCACCAGTTACATGGACTCCTTTCAATCTACCAAGGTCGTAGATATTCATGCAAATTAAGAATAAGATGGGCCTGAGACGACCAGCACCAATGAGAAGTTCTCCCACCACTAGAGACCACACCAGATATTGTGATTTCCATCAAAATCATGGTCACACCATGGAGGAGTGTAATCAGCTGAAATCTGAATTACAAAGCTTAGCTCGAAAGGGGATGTTAAATGAATATGTCCAGAGAACATATCAGCCTACCTTTGTCAAGGAACAAGATTTACAGTCACAGGGGACTCGTAATGCAAATAATAGACAAGGAGTGGGATACCAACAAGCTCCACCACCCCTCCCACCACCGGCTAGAATCATTCACATGATCACAGGTGGCCTAAAAGCAGGACGTTTGAGCTCTAAACAACGGAAATTATATGTTAGGAAGGTAAAACACCAAAACATGGCCCAGAAACGAAAGTTTGATGATGCAAAATGGAAGAATCAACCCATCACCTTTACACCTGTTGACTTCAATGGAGTGATATTGCCTCATAACGATCCATTGGTCACTTATGTTATGATTAACAATTGTGAGGTACAGCGTGTCCTTGTTGACACGGGCAGTGCACCAAACATCATGTATTACCATTGTTTTGAAAGTTTAGGGCTGGATCCAGCTCTGTTACAGAGGTATGACGGTCTTATATATGGCTTTAACAAACAACTTGTTCAGGTTGAGGGGATCCTTACCCTCAATATTGCATTTGGAAGTGACCGAACTTATGTTACTCCTTCAGTTCAGTTTCTAGTTGTTAAAATGGCTTCATCTTTCAATGTTGTTATTGCTTGACCTACATTAATGGAGATCCGAGCTGTGGTCTCTCAATCCCACCTCTACATGAAATTCCCTATCCCCATGGGGATAGCAACACTGAAAGGCAATCAGGAAGTAGTCAGGCATTGTTATATTACCTTGGTTACAAAGCTGTTGTAACAAAAATATCAGACCTCAAAAACCGCCCCACAAGAAGTCTACGATATCCAACAGGTAATGGGGGTTGAAATCCTCGATAACCGACCTGAAGATGAAACCTGAGCTGCCCAGTTGAAGATATTAAGGAAGTATAGATTGATGACAGAGATCCAAACAGAAAAACCCAAATAGGAACTCGTTTGAACTAGAAAGACAGAGTTGAGCTAATAGCATTCCTTCAAGCCAACAAAAACGTTTTTACTTGGACCTCTATAGACATGCCAAGAGTTCCTACCTTTGTGTCTATGCATAGACTTAGCACAAATACCTTGAAAAAGTCGGTTGCACAGAAATGATGCCTCTTTGGGGGGGAGAGGCTCAAGGTGATTAAGCAAGAAGTAGAAAAGCTTTTACAAGCAGGTTTTGTCAGAAGAGTCGACTATTGTGAATAGATTGCCAATCCAGTGCTGGTCAAGAAATCCAATGGCAAATGGCGAATGTGTATCTATTGCACTAATTTGAACCAAGCTTGTCCTAAGGACTGTTATCTGATGGCAAATATTAATAAGCTAGTTGAAGTAGCTTTTGGAAATGAGAGGTTAAGTCTCTTAGATGCATATTCTAGATATCACCAAGTTCCAATAGCCCTAGAAGACGAAGAGAAAACTCCATTCTACACAGGAGATGAAATCTATTGCTATGTTATGAGGCCCTTTTACTTAAAGAATGCAGGTGCTACTTATCAAAAAATAGTAACCATTGTGTTTTGAGCTCAGATTGGCAGAAACTTAGAAGTTTATGTTGATGACATTGTTGTGAAAAGCTTGAAGGTTAAAGATCATATAGCTGACCTGGAGGAAACTTTCAATAATTTGAGGTAGAACAGAATGCGGTTAAATCCAACCAAGTGTATCTTCGAAGTGGAATCTAGAAAATTTTTGGGTTTCATGGTTTCCAGGCAGGGTATCAAGGTCAACCCTGAGAATATCAAAGCAATAAAAGAGATGGGACCTCCGAAGTCAATGAAAGAAGGACAGAGGTTAACTGGTAGGGTGGCAGCCCTCCACAGATTTGTTTCCAAATCTATTGACAAGTGTCTTCCATTCTTCAAGATTATGAGATCTACGGCTCAAAAAGACGAATCTGGCAAATAGAAAAAATTTGAGTGGAGTTCAGAATGCTAAGCTGCATTTGGTGAGCTCAAGTCTTACCTTAGCTCACCTCCATTGTTAACGAAAGCTGTTGATGGGGAAATCCTTTACTTGTACCTTGGTATCTGACATGAGGCAAGTAGTTTAGTACTAGTAAGAGAAGAAGGAAAGCAGGATAAGCCAGTTTACTATACCAGCAAAGTGCTACACTGAGCAAAATAGAGGTATTCCATTGTTGAAAAAGCAGCTCTAGCAGTAGTTATCTTTGCCAGGAAGTTAAGGCCTTATTTTCAGTCACACCTGATTATTGTCTTCACTAACCAACCACATTGGCAACTATTGCAGAAACCAAAATGTTTCAGTAGATTGATCAAATGGACTGTAGAGCTGGGAGAGTTTGAAATAACATTCCAACACAAATCAACAATTTGAACTCAAGCACTAGTTGATTTTGTTGTTGAATGCACCTTTGATTAGCCAGCTTAGGAAGTCCAACCAATTACATGGATTTCATGCGTTGATGGTGCATCAAATAATAAAGGAGCAAGAGCTAGAGCAATCCTGGTCGAACTAGATGGCTACCAAAGTGAACATTCTTTGAAGTTCAATTTTGATGCAACTAACAACATGGCCGAATATGAAGCTTTGATAATTGGCCTACAGCTGGTGTTAGAATTGAAAGTCACAACAATACAGGTTCATAGTGACTCATAGCTTGTAGTTAATCAAGTTAATGCCATTTGCGAGGTAGTCAACCCAATTCTGATGAAGTATGCAGCTTTGGTGGCCGAACTCAAGTGCAAGTTTGAGAAATTCTATCTAATTAAGATACCTCGAACTGAAAATGAACAAGCAAATTCGCTTTCAAAGATTTCCTTTGATAGTTCCTGAGGTTCGAGATTAGTTTTTGTTGAGGTTCTGGATGAGCCTAGCTTCCAAAAGCCAAGGGTCATGGAAATCATCACGGATCCGAGCACACCAAGTTGGACAGACCTAATTGTGTCTTTCCTACATGATGGGTCAATCCTTGATGATAAGCAAGAAGAAATGAGACTAAGAAAGAAAGCATCTTGGTATGCTTTAATAGATGGAGTTCTATATAATAGATTTTTCTCACTCCCTCTTCTACGGCGTTTAATTCCTTATAAAGCCGAATATGCACTTCGGGAGGTCCACGAAGGTGTCTGTGGAAGTCATGTTGGTGCTTGAATTCTGGCTCATAAAGTTTTTAGACAAGGATACTACTGGCAGAACAGGCACAAAGACGCCATTGATTTCATGTAGAAGTGCCCAAAGTACCAATTTTTTGCACATTTAACTCTTCAACCAACTGAAGAACTCACAAACCTAGTGGCACCATGGCCATTTGCTCAGTGGGGCCTTGATCTCTTAGGTTCATTTGTGAAAGGAGTTAGAGGAGTAACTCATTTGATAATCGGGGTTGATTACTTCACGAAATGGGTAGAAGTTCGGCCATTATCCAGCCTTACATCCAGAAACGTTGAAGACTTTGTTTTTAGTTCAATCATCTGCAAATACAGGATTCTAAATCAAATTGTGGCTGATAATAGAACTTAGTTCAACTGCTTAACATTTAGAGACTTCTGCTCCAGTTACAGAATCAACTGTAGTTTACCTCAATATACCACCCAAAGTCCAATGGCATGGTGGAATCTATTAACAAAGCTATTTTGGAATGAATCAAACCGAGGTTGGAGCGACACAAGGTCAGGTGGGCAGACGAGCTCAACAATGTGCTTTGGGCATATAGAACCACGAGCCGAATTGCCACAGGTACAATTCCCATCTTAATTTACTTTCTTACTATTTTATCTCTTTTTCTGTTGCTTCATCCTAACTCAAATATGCATAATGCATAAAGCATACTCTAAAACAGTAACTCAATGAAATAGGTGAAACACTCTATCATCTGACCTTCGGTACCGAATCAGTCATTACTATTGAAATAGGAGTCCCCAGCCTCAGGTTCACCCATCTCGATGAAGGATGAAAGGGACAACTACTTTGGGAGAACCTTGATCTGCTTGACAAAGTCAAAGAGGAAGCACGACTTCGAACTTTGGCATACAAGTAGAAATTAGCCAATTTCTACAACAAATGAGCTCATCGTTGAACATTTAGATTTGGCGACCTTGTTCTAAGAAAAGTAGGCCTAACGGGATTTGAAACTCATTTTGGCAAATTAGCCCCAAATTGGGAAGGCCCTTATACAATAGCTGAGGTACTGTACCTAAGTGCATATATTCTTCAAAACACTAAAGGAAAAAGAGTTCCCAGAGTTTGGAATGTGAACAATCTGAAAAAGTTTTACCTTTAATTCAATTCCTAAGTTGAACTTTATTTTAGTTTATAATTGTTGATTTTTCTTTCCGAGGTCAATGTCTTATTGTGAAGTTCTCTGATATTGTTATCCGAGGTCAATCTCTTGTCATTTAGCTCTCTGGAATTTTTATCCGAGATCCTTAACTTCTCTGTATGAGATTCGTCTCCTTTGACGTCGATTCTATTAATAAATTTCACTTCAAATTTGAAGTGTTTTCACTCATTTCAACTCTTACTTAACACCAACACAACAAATAGTTAAAATAAATCCTCAACACTCAATTAAATTAACAGACGAAGTGACTACATAAATGTTCGAATTAAAACAAACAAATTGTTCAAACGTTACAATAAAATAAAAACCAAAGAAATAAAGTCTCGCTACTCTACTGCAGGAGGTGGCTGATCTTCTGTTGGGGGAGCTGGCTGGTCTTCCTCTGAAGGAACTGGATGGATCTCCACTGGATGAGGTGCCTGGCTCTCCCCCAGCTCTGCACCTTTTGCCTTTGCATTCCCTTCCTCCATTATGACGAATTCGAAGTTGAAGTTCGGAGGGAAAATGCTGCAACCCTCTTTGTCACGATCCCACCTCAACTTAATCTAAGGTCAAAAGTCAGCTGACATGCTTTCACCATTCTCCTCC